GCTCTGGGGAAGATGACAATGGCATCAATTACAGCCCCCGTTCAGCCTCGGCTTCGACCACCCTCGGCACAGACAACTACTTCACGAATGCCTCCATTCCAAGGGGGAAACGGCAGACTCCAGACCCATGGAGTCCTTAAGGAAACTTAAGGAATTTTATTGAACTGAACTGTCGCAGAAACAAACAGAACAAAAACGTTCTGTCTGTGGGAAAAAATTCACAGAACAGAACACAACTGTTCCGGTACGGAAATTTTCCCAATAAAAGAACGGGATTGTTCTGTTTTGGGAACAGGATTGTGACTAACTTCTAGACTTCTGGAGTCCAATGGAATCCAGAAGTGTGGATTTTTGGAATGGATTTATATAATAGCAAGGACTCCAGGAAATAGCGGAGTCCCTTGGAGTCCTGGAGTCTGCTGTTTCCCCCTTGGGCTCGATAGTACCGGAAAGAAAAAAACTCGACTGTTTCTTCCCTCGTTCTCATGATCCGCAGAAGAGCAAAGGCCTTCCGATTATCAGTGAGGAGTTAGGTTTGAAGCTCTCCCCTGACATTCTGTTAAATGATCCCAAGCAAATATCACCTATGAGAAAAATCTAGATACATTTCGTCTGTAATCGGGCGATATCCGACTAGTTGTTATCTAGATTACTAGTTGGAAAAGGGACTTTTAACTAGATGCGTCTGCAGGTGCATCTAGCAATAGTTGAATCCATCGATTATCCGGCGATAAATCGATAGTTGCAACTAGAAAAAATCTAGTAATCGCCCAATTACTAGATTTCCACTGTCGTTACACAGTAGCTGCAATCGAGTAAAAATCTAGTAATCTGGATGAATCGGGCGATACTAGACTTTTTTTTGACGCTTGGGATTTGAAGACGGAATTGCTGAAGCATCCTGCCTTCAACAGCGTAAGTTCCAGTCGAAGTGCTGTCTTTCTCACTCTCACTAACTGTTTTTTTCTTTTCTTGGTTAACAAAGATAGAGAAGTTGGGAAACAGTTATGGTGTGAAACTGATCTTTCTTCCGAAGTATCACTCAGAATTGTCCAGTATTGAAGGCCTATGATGTCATTTGAAACAGTTCGTCCGGAAGAAATCCGAACAGAACTTCCCGCGTATGCTCTCCTTGGTTGTCGAAGCCCGGGAGAACTTCACAGTACGGAACATCAATATCAAACTGCAAAGACGTTTCTGGAAGTGCCTTCACAGCTATGATGAAGGCAAGGAATATAAAGACGTGCTTCACTTGTTCTTTTCCTCTGACTGTAAGACTGAAGTTCAATCTCATAGGAAGATCACAAACACCAATCTAGACGATCCGTAACTGTTTATTCTCGCTTCCACTAATTTGTGTATGTACTTTTCCTCTCTCTTGTTGGTCTAGCAAAACATCCGGGAAGTAGTGAAACGTTGAACGAAACGCCAAATTAAGCCACGACGTTCAGGTACCTAAAGTCGCCTTAACAATTTTCATGAAGTCATCCGGAACTTTCTCCTATGACTCTGAATTGACTCTCATCGTGCTCGGCATCGTTTCTTACCCATGCTCTGTGATTTTGATGGAATTTGGACGAAAAATGAGAAAATTTCTGGAAAATCACTCGATCGTTGGTGCAGCTTTTTGAAAAAAGGTGAAACAGTTTGACAGGAAAGGGGAAAGTGAAAAAACTGGAGCTATACTATTGTTGTCCGCAGCACGGCGGTTCGAATGGTGCAAGAATCAGGTCTCTAGCTTATAAGGCAAAAAACTAGATAGCTTTTTGCTGTGAGTCATTCTTTGAAAGGTTTCCTAGCAACGGACTTTTCTGCAACGTTCACGTTGCAAGAGAGGAACTTCCAAAGAACCCGAGT